CATAATAGTGACAGATAAACTATAGGCTCCTAATGCATGATTTTATTTTATACTTCTCTCTACATGTACTTTCATGTCTTAAAAGATGGAAAATCATTTCTTTTTTTTTCCCTTTGACAGAAGACTGATTTTACGCAAAGCATACGAGATTGGCGCAACCAGTGCAAAACTATACTTTTGAACATCCCTTTAACTCCACCTGCTGTTTAACCTCCCCGACAGTCGCTCATAAAAGCCAGCAGAAACCTTTATTGCACTGATGTAAAGAGATCCAATCAAGCCCTAATGGCAATTTGGTGGTCACTCTTCACTGACCTTGACATGCCTTGTTTAAAGTCTTCTGCTTCTTCCCTCCACATGACTTGTGCTGAGGCTTAACGATTTCTAGAGGCATTCTTCTTGTAGAAACCCTCACAGAATCAGCAAGAGAGACAAGAATATGTCAACATTCCTTGCAAAAGGAAACAGTGTGATGACCTACTTATCAAGCAATGGCCAAATCAGGATTTTTTAAAATTTATTTAACACTTTCTTTATGGTCAGTGTAATTTTGAATAAGAACATTAGAAAGGAAAATTTTCCTGTTAGCATGCTATCTGTTTTCTGCATGGCTGATGTATGCTGCGAATGCATTTAGCTTAATTAAATTTAGCCTGGTGATTAAATGCTGAGCTGTGCATTTGGAACGTCCCTAAAATCGTACAGTGCTACTGAAAACAAGAGTAGATCTGCAGGATATGCAGGGTAGCGGACAAGGGTTGCTTGATATAGACACTTGAAGCCATGATTTTTACAAAGGGCTAGAGAAGGAGGCACAAGAGGCAGCTTTTAATGGACAAAGAGTTTAACGGATTGATATCAAACTACCGGCAGAGAATGCTGGTGTAAAGTGATAGGTTAGTGCGAGAATAGGAATTTTTTTTAAAAAAAAGCTACTTCAAACATGCAGTCAGGGAAATGAAGACTGAATAACCTATTCATAAAAAGTCACAAATATCAGCATCCCCCATTTGATCATTCACTATTTACAATCCATATGAGTCCATAGGGTATAGGGTCTATAAACCAAACGTTCACTGTGCAGAAAGGGGGAAAAACCATGTACATGATGCTACCACCAAGTTGACCAAAATAAAATTCCGGGGTACTTTCTTTGGGAGAATACTTGGTGCTGTTTTTTAACACTCTGCTTCATAACTTTTCTAGTGGAATCACAGATAAAAAATTAATAATATAAAATATACTTTTGTCTCTGATTATGCATCGCACACATGCTTAATGTGACTGGTGCATCGTGACAAGGTTGTGAGCGACGCAGGGATTCATTGGGTACAGAGATTATGTATTACGAGCGTAGCAATAGCTTTGTGTTTCTACGTAAATAAGTATTTAAACTTGGATGGGACTCTAGACCCAGCAAGTGAGTTCACAGATTAAGAGCTACTATTCAGAATCGTAATCTAGAGATTCACCTTATCTTCTCTCTGTCCAGAGGGAAAAAGCAAGACATTTAACTGCAATTCCTTGCCTGGTCCCATGGCATCACAGATAATAAGAGGGATTTGGTGGGTGATCTCTCTTTCAGGTCAATCTGTGGATACTCCACGTATGCTACTGAGAATATAATCGCTTGTATGTACCAGAGACCTTAATTTTTCAGTGCACCTTCACTAAAGATCACATCACCTGCTCCCAGCACCTGTACGGCTGCAGGGACATTGTGCATTGTTCTGTGATATACAGACAATGTTACAATGAATTCTTACATCTGGTATTGGAATCTTGATCTTGAATATGCGGTGGGCTGGACATGACCATATTATCCACCCCAAAGGCAGTCTAACCAGCCCAAGTGAAATGGGGGTAAAAATTTTAGCCAGCATGGCTTAAAAATGAACTGGTCATTATGTGCCTAATCTAAAAGTAAAATACAAAAAAAGGGGTGCTATCCTTCAACCCCCCATAAAATGTATTTGTCAACATTCTAAGTCTAAAAATCTGTGAAGTTCCAGTTATTATGGTACAATTCCTTTTTATTACAACATTGTTTAAACAGGAGGACTGTATATAAATGCAAATTTAGGGGTACTCTCAGGTTGCAAATATAATGCAGTTTTCCATCTTATTTCATGAGTTTCAGTGTTCGTTATAAATCATACATAAAGAGGACTGTGTTGGTATTTTTTGGAGCTACGTCCTCTGAGAAAACGTAACTTTCTACTATTTTGTTTTTATTTCATTATGTGATCAGGCCGTGTGCAGTTAGGTACTGATTGCCAAATAGGTTTTGATACTATACGGATGCGTGTTTATTGCTGGGGAAAAAACAAAAGTACTGATACGAAGGAAGGGCATCTATATTAAGCTATCAAAAGGGATTTCATAGAAAAATGTAAAACAGACCACAGTACCGTTGTATGGTATTGTAAGAAAATAAATCATACAAAAACCCTGTATTACATAGATATGAAATATTTCATAAATAATTCATCAACCTGGTTTAGTTTGGCCCCGGGGGGAAAAAAAAAAAAAAGGAAAAAATTGAAAAAATTTGGAGCGTAAACTCATTAAATTAAATGCCCATGCAACAACTCAGAAAGAGAACAAATGTTCCTGTGCCCTTGAAAATACAAAATGTCTAACGTGTATATGTATGTGTATATGAAGTACAACTACAAAATAACTATCACAATGCTCTGTCATAAAGGAGCCTTTGCTACCCCAGGGCCATACAAGATCTTGTACAATGTATAAGGTCTAGTAACTGGGTTTATGACAAAACCTGTACAGTACTTCCTGGTTGATTAAGGAATTGCAGTGATACAGCAAGCAAATTAAATTAAGAAGTGATTAGTACTTTTTGTTTAATCTATTTTTTTTTGCACATTTTAAAGTATTATTGTTACATTAAGTTAAACATTTTGCTCACCTCCAGCCTGGTGTGTCCCGTTAAATGTTGTACAAGTCATGGAACCACCCTGTAGAGAAGGTGTAACTACCATGAATACCTTTGCAAAATGCACTTTAAGCAATATTCCCCAAAGAGGTGTCATGGCCTATGTCCCTGATGTTCATACCACATTTAGCATTTCTTGGTATCGTTGGATAACTCGTTCAACGAAGCGTAAAAGGTTTATTCACTATATATTATATAGCAAACTGTAAGGGATTAAAAGTGAGTTTCAAATTTTAGTCCTAAACCTGATTTGAAAACATAGCTGATTTGATGGATTTTGAAATTCATATTTAAATTCCTATCAATTAAAATTTTCCGAAGAACACAGTAAGTGATAGATTCATTAGAAGATTTCACGGGCCAGAACGGTTAGTTGCAATTGTAAACCTTTGCAATAGTCAAGACTAACTCTAAAATCATACTATATAAAGAAAAATATATATATATATATATGCACATTTTATAAAAAGAGAGAGTCATGACACTGATAGAAGATCATATGAAATATATGTGCCTTACGGGAGCAAAACCACAGCCCCCAGGCATAACGAATGGAGTGCAATCCATTTTAACGAAGAAATGTATATTATACTTATGTTTAACTTAACAGAAGCACATCATATTAATGACACCCTGAATGTCAACTGTGTTGATAAACAAGGTGTCATTTAAAGCTAAATTAGTGTGTATCACTGTTTGTCTATTAAACATCTGAAACGATTCACATCAGTCAGGTTGAGATCGGAGGAACATGTTTCGGAGCGAGTGCAAAGATTCCTATAATGCTTACAGAATGATGCTCATGAATGACTGATCGCAACACAGAAAGGGAATCTACTGCCTGAGAAGCCATGCCACATGATGAATGAATGGTCAAAAATGTTCACCCGCCCCCCCCCTTGTAGTTAATATGCCATGGAATACAGCTATATGGATGGAATGTTCTGGAGGTGTTGTAGGAAAATGTTTCAGTCCTGTGACAATTTGGACAGAAGTTTAGATGACATTTTTGCGGTTGATTAATTGCCTGTGCATGATTATGCGTGTATTGACCTACATAATCGATCCATACACAGGTCTATACGTGTCATTTGACACAATGTCAGGAGATGACATTTGTTGAATCCATACACAGCAGGCGCAGTTGGCAAAATTACCTTTAACCCTTTAAGTGCTAGAGGTGTGCCCAAAATATTACAACCTCAAAAGACCAAACCCTTCTACAGAGGACAAAAAAAAAAGTCACCAGCAATCCTGCTGCATTCTCTGCCCTCCTTATTTAATCCCTTGACTGCTTATAAGGATGTGGTTTGTCTTCAGGCAGGCAAAGGGTTAAGTGCCATAGCTTACACCTCCAGCTCCATTCAGTCTCAGCATCACAGAACATTTTATACTCACCTTTGTATATTATATATATTTGTTTCATACAATAAAAAAAAAGGAACAACTGTAATATTCAGCAGATAATAAAGTATTTGCCTTTTTGTAACATTATTTGGGCTTGCAGTACTTTCTTTCACAAGCACACGTAAACCGGCCTCGATTCGCTGGTCAAGAGTACAAACATTTTTCGGGTGAATTTTGGTGCCTTTTACGCCCATGTCTTGATTCAAGGTAAAAGCGCACTTGCCAAGTATGCGTAGAAAATACATTTGTAGCATACAATATCATCTGTACACTTTGCTAGCCAAATGGCAACTGCCCACGTGCTAGACATTGTAAGAACTAGTAGCCAGACTTTGTACGGCAGATATCCTTCTACACGTTGATCACTTAGTCACCTTTGACTACTTCCTCAACAAGGTATGCCTAGCATATACAAACACACACGCGTAAAAGAATGTAAAATAACATCACTAAGGTCCATTAGAAATATGTAAATCATGGTAGCAAGGTATATCTTGGCAGACTCACTGTACTACAAAGACAGCCAAGGAGGATTTAATACAGCCATGATACTCATTGTTCCGTGAACAGTGACATCATAAAACTACAGACAATACTGTTTCTACCAATACAAACTATGAGTGTGTTAGACATGCTATGCAATCAGCAATGACAAGGTGCCTCTTGGGTTTACCTATAAACCGAGACATCTCAAAAAAGTCATTGAGGCTTGTATAGCCAAAAGTAAAAACCTTAGCAGAGATATTCTTTTTTTAAATATTGTCATTTCCCTTATATAGTATGGAGAGTAAAGAAAACATTAGTTTTCTTCTCAGAACTTTGGATGAAAAAGTAGAGTTTATTACCCTTTAATAGAACAGTAACATTCTGAAAGGCACTTGATCCAGCAGTGATAACTGCAAGTAGAGTGGGAACATTTAAGAGTTGTTTGAATGCATTCCCAGCAGCGTAGGGCATTCATGGACACAGTTTATGTAATTAACAGATGTTGATCCTGGGATTAAGCTGACTGCTTGTGGAGACACAAAGCATTTTATATTCCTCTTGTTAGGGTGAAACCGCCAATAGCGCAAATGGGCCGTTTCTTAAAACTTTGTCTTTATTATAAACACTTAAAAGGCTGCACTAGATACAGTTATGTCTTTTTAGATCACTTACTGTACGACACAAACTAAGAAATGTTTTCAGTTCTGGAGGTTCTCCAACACATTACACAATCTTAGTGTACATAAGGGGCTGATACAGTATCACAAACAAATCTCTATAGATCTTGTCTTCTTTCACACTAGGGCTGGTAAATGTATAATTTTACAAGACAGGAGAGAGGTGCCGCATTAATACAACAAGGATTATCAAAGTCTCGGCATAGAGATACTAAAACAGAATCCTTCAAGAAAGTAGGATTATCGACCATTTAGAAACCCGAAGACCTCCCTAGCTGATTGTTATTAAATATATGTACTGAGTACCAAGACTAGTTAATTCCTTTTTTTTGTTGTTCATTATGAAACCATAGCCCAAAATGCATTCCCAAAAGACAAAATGATTCTATTTCAATTACCATCCATAGGCTTAGTGGTAGTTGTCTGCAATGAGATATCTAATTTCACTGTGACCTTGCGGAGTTGCCTCTGGTACCAGAAACGCAAGCAATAAACCGAGGGATAAGGCATTCTGCATCCTGTTTGTATTTCCCTGGGGAACGTAGCTTGGTGTTCTTATAATACTGGCTAGTAAACCATTTCACAAACGTCTTATACTCTTAGAATGCACACTCTACTGACTGTTTCAATATTGCTAATATACAGCTTTCTGTTTTAAATGTTTACCCTGTACAGATTTAATAACAAACACACAAAATTTTCCAACATTCTCATTTATTTAAAAAACAAACACACAAAATATATAAGCTATGATACCCTGTCAATATGTAGGAATTTAAGTTACAGGAATGCAAAACGACAATGTAAGCACACTGCAATAAATATAACATGGCTCACAATGACATCATTTACTAGGTAGGTAGGCTTAAAATATGTTCATCACCCAAAAAAAAATAAAAAAAATCCATGGTGTGTCTGTGGCTCTGTGAGTGTGAGTGAGATACTTCCAAATCACTACTATACAATAGAGACAATATTGCTGGGTCCCTAAATAGAGAGTGTAACCATAACATGATACACTATGATAAGTGGTCTCCTTTATCTAGTTATATCCAGTTGTACATTCGAATTACCCATAATTATATATTGTTTCACTTTGTGTGCTTTCACTTTCCTTCGTATTCTTGTATTTCTATGTACAAAGATCGTCTGTGTGTGAATGTATGGTTATGTTCAGGGCATGTCTCTGTGTGAATGCAGGGCTACGTACAAGGAATGTGTGTGTGTGAATGCAGGTCTATGTATGAGGTGTGTGAATGCATGGCTATATACAGTAAGTGTGTGAATGCAGGGCTTTTTACGAGGAGTGTCTCTGTGTGTGTAAATGCAGGACTATGTACGAGGAGTGTCTGTGTGTGTGTAAATGCAGGGCTATGTACGAGGAGTGTCTGTGTGTGTAAATGCAGGGCTATGTATGAGGAGTGTGTGTGTGTAAATGCAGGGCTATGTATGAGGAGTGTGTGTGTGTGCGCGTGTAAATGCAGAGTTACGTACGAGGATTGTGGGTGTAAGTGTGTAAATGCAGGGCTATGTACGAGGAGAGTGTGTGTGTGTGTGTGTGTGTGTGTGTGTAAACGCAGGGCTACGTATGAGGATTGTGTGTGTTAGTGTGTAAATGCAGGGCTACGTGCGAGGAGTGTGTGTGTGTAAATGCAGGGCTACGTACGAGGAGTGTTGTGTAAATTCAGGGCTACATACGAGGAGTGTGTGTAAATGCAGGGCTATGTGCGAGGAGTGTGTTAGTGTGTAAATGCAGGGCTATGTGTGAGGAGTGTGTTAGTGTGTAAATGCAGGGCTTTGTGCGAGGAGTGTGTTAGTGTGTAAATGCAGGGCTATGTGCGAGGAGTGTGTTAGTGTGTAAATGCAGGGCTATGTGCGAGGAGTGTGTTAGCGTGTAAATGCAGGGCTACGTACAAGGAGTGTGTGTGTTAGTGTGTAAATGCAGGGCTATGTGCGAGGAGTGTGTGTGTGTGTAAATGCAGGGCTACGTATGAGGAGTGTGTGTGTGTGTAAATGCACGTTTATGTATGAGGTGTGTGAAAGCATGGCTATGTACAGTGAGTGTGTGTGTAAATTCATGGTTATGTACGAGGAGTGTGTGTGTGTAAATGCAGGGTTATGTACGAGGAGTGTGTGTGTTAGTGTGTAAATGCAGGGCTATGTACGAGGAGTGTGTGTGTATAAATGCAGGGCTATGTACGAGGAGTGTGTGTGTGTGTGTGTGTGTGTAAATGCACGTCTATGTATGAGGTGTGTGAAAGCATGGCTATGTACAGTGAGTGTGTGTGTAAATGCATGGTTATGTACGAGGAGTGTGTGTGTGTGTGTGTAAATGCAGGGTTATGTACGAGGAGTGTGTGTGTGTGTAAATGCAGGGTTATGTACAAGGAGTGTGTGTTAGTGTGTAAATGCAGGGCTATGGACGAGGAGTGTGTGTGTAAATGCAGGTCTACGTACGAGGAGTGTGTGTGTGTAAATGCAGGGCTTTGTACGAGGAGTGTCTGTGTGTGAATGTATGGTTATGTTCAGGGCATGTCTCTGTGTGAATGCAGGGCTACGTACGAGGAATGTGTGTGTGTGTGTGTGTGAATGCAGGTCTATATATGAGGTGTGTGAATGCATGGCTATATACAGTGAGTGTGTGAATGCAGGGCTTTGTACGAGGAGTGTCTGTGCGTGTAAATGCAGGGCTATGTACGAGGAGTGTGTGTGTGTAAATGCAGGGCTATGTACGAGGAGTGTCTGTGTGTGTAAATGCAGGGTTATGTACGAGGAGTGTCTGTGTGTGTAAATGCAGGGCTATGTATGAGGAGTGTCTGTGTGTGTGTAAATGCAGAGTTACGTACGAGGATTGTGTGTGTTAGTGTGTAAATGCAGGGATATGTACGAGGTGTGTGTGTGTGTGTGTGTGCGCGTGTAAATGCAGAGTTATGTACGAGGATTGTGTGTGTTAGTGTGTAAATGCAGGGCTATGTACGAGGAGTGTGTGTGTGTAAATGCAGGGCTACGTACGAGGATTGTGTGTGTTAGTGTGTAAATGCAGGGCTACGTACGAGGAGTGTGTGAGTGTAAATGCAGAGCTGCGTACGAGGAGTGTGTGTGTGCAAATGCAGGGCTACGTACGAGGAGTGTGTGTGTGTAAATGCAGGGCTACGTACAAGGAGTGTGTGTATGTAAATGCAGGGTTATGTATGAGGAGTGTGTGTGTTAGTTTGTAAATGCAGGGCTATGTACGAGGAGTGTGTGTGTGTAAATGCAGGGCTATGTACGAGGAGTGTCTGTGTGTGTAAATGCAGGGCTATGTACGAGGAGTGTCTGTGTGTGTAAATGCAGGGCTATGTACGAGGAGTGTGTGTAAATGCAGGGCTATGTGCGAGGAGTGTGTTAGTGTGTAAATGCAGGGCTATGTGTGAGGAGTGTGTTAGTGTGTAAATGCAGGGCTATGTGCGAGGAGTGTGTTAGTGTGTAAATGCAGGGCTATGTGCGAGGAGTGTTTTAGTGTGTAAATGCAGGGCTATGTGCGAGGAGTGTGTTAGTGTGTAAATGCAGGGCTATGTGCGAGGAGTGTGTTAGTGTGTAAATGCAGGGCTATGTGCGAGGAGTGTGTTAGTGTGTAAATGCAGGGCTATGTGCGAGGAGTGTGTTAGTGTGTAAATGCAGGGCTACGTATGAGGAGTGTGTGTGTACATGCATGGCTACGTACGAGGAGTGTGTGTGTGTGTGTGTAAATGCAGGGCTATGCTATTCTCTGAAACTGCTGTGTTTATAAAAAAAAAAAGGGTTAACCCTATCTGGACCTGGCATCCAGACCACTTCATTAAGCTGAAGTGGTCTGGGTGCCTATAGTGGTCCTTTAATGTATGTATTTGATATATGATGTATTTATGAAGG